AGCATTAGATGTATTGCACATGCAATAAATCTAGTTGCACAAGATATTTTAAAATATGAGTGGGCTGATAAATTAATTAAAAAATGTAATATATTATATAATTTTTTTAAATCTTCACATCAAGCAGGTATGTATTATAATTTTATTATTTAAATAATTTATTAAATATAAAATTTATTTATTTATAAATTAAAGGTGCAGAAATTAGATCATTAATAGAACAATATAAAATTGATGGAGGAGGTCTTAAAAACTATTCAAAAACTAGATGGACTACTGCAAATGATACAGTTGAAAGTGTAATACATTTAGAAAAAGTTTTAAAAAAGGTAATTTATTATTAATATAGGGAATTAATATTTTTATACTCTTTTTTGATAATGCTATACCCATATAGATTATTAATTTTTATACAATTAATTGAAGATATTTTGGTACTTACCTAACCAAATTTGATTGATTTTTTTTTTAATTTTAATTATAGAAAGCTATAGAATTTAAAGAAAAAAAAAGTTGATTGAATTTTATTAGGTAAGTGCTAAGATATCTTTGATCAAAGTTTTTATAAAATTCTTAAATATAAGCTGTAACAAAAATTATTTACAAACTTTAATTGAAGATATCTCAGTACTTATTTAACCAAATTTGATTAACTTTTTTTATTTCAATTATAGAAAGCTATAAAATTTAATAAAAAAAAGTTGATCAAATTTAGTAAAGTTTTGTAAAATTCTAAATATCTATTAAATATAAGCTGTAGCAAAAATTTTTTATAAACTTTGATTGAAGATATCTCAGTACCCATTTAACCAAATTCAATCATTTTTTTTTTATTTTAATTATAGAAAGCTGTAAACTTTTTTTAAAAAAAAGTTGATCAAATTTAATTAAATAGATACAAAGATATCTTCAATCAAAGTTTTTGTAAAATTCTAAATGTCTATCAAATATAAGCTAAGGTAAAAATTGTTTACAAACATTGATCAAAGATATCTTAGCAACCAACTAACCAAATTTGATCAACTTTTTTTATTTT